ATTGAACTGCGCAACGTAGTTTGAATTACGATGTAATTGAAATACAATGTAATTCAATTACGTAACTGAATTACAATTTAATTCAATTACATAACTGAATTACAATTTAATCAAATCAGTACAACTCCGACTTCAGTTTATTTTCAAGCATAATGAACTCTGCATTCATCGAGCAAGATATGTTAAATGTTTCTATTTAAATTCGGAAAACTTGAAAGCACGCAACCAACGGGAAATCTGGTACAGTATCCGCCGGAGCCATAAACATGTAAGCCGATTAAGTCAACAATTCGTTATGCAAGCCCTACCGACTGCTTTTTTTTATCGAACTTTCGGGCGCAAGAAAAGTTGAAACGACTGGGTTCGGGATTTTATCGTGAAGCTACGGCGAAGATAAATATCGGGGGAAGAAAAATCGGGCTCGCAGTCTCACAGGGTAGCGGGGACGGAAGTTGGCAACGAACTCTTTGAAAAATTAACGGAGAGCTACGATTAAAGTTCCGATAGCAACATGCAAACGAGAGCCCGCGGAATCGTGAAACTTCGCTACGCCGAGCGACGAAAGAAAACACGAAATTTTCCAGTAATAATAGACGGTAATATATTTCGGAGGGCCGTTATCTTACTTCTCTCCGTGGCGATTGCGTAAACACCTTTAGGATATACAATGCATGAACGAAGGGAGAGAAAAGATCGAGGAAGACTCGACGGAAAATGTAATACGGAAACAATAAGTAGCAGAGTAGACCCCACCCCTCCTTCCTTACCCACACACGCGCGCGCGCGCATGCACAGAGAGAGAGAGAGAGAGGGGGTGAGTGGTAAAGGGAGTGAGGGGTAGTGTGAAGGAGAGAGAGAGAGAAAGAGAGAGGGAGAGAGAGAGAAGGAGAGAGAGAGAGAGGGAGAGAGAGAGAGAGAGGGAGAGAGAGAGAGGGAGAGAGGGAGAGAGAGAAAGAGGGAGAGTCTTTCAATGTACGTACGGATAGAAGGATAAACAAAAGAGGAATGTGGTATTAAAATGATTCGGAGCTGCGAACATGGGAGTTGGTTATTTTTCAATAAAATTGATCGACGACTAAAATGATGGTTGATCATTAATCAGAATAAATTAGTCATTTTATTCTTATTTTATTTTATTATTGATACACGAAACAGAAAATGTTAAGGATATATAGTTTCATATTTTTTGATCTTGTAATATTATGCGGAAAAGGTGTGAAGCGAAGTTAACTTATATGACCGTGACTCCTGAGCAAAAATAAATACACGATACAATATTTCAATCACTAGTTGGAAAAATGTTTCGTCAAAAATAATTGCCTTCGCGTTGGGCACGTTAGCCAAAAATACCTTCATTAGTCACAATTACATATTGATTCTTAGCTACGATGACCGAGTAATTATCGAGTCATTAGCCATCATTAATGATAATTGTTCATAATCGTTAGTCATCAGTCGTTAATAATTGATTGCGCCCGGAACGATTTACCGAATAAATTGACGGACAGAAGCTTTGAAATTAAGGTACTTATAAAGACGAGTTTTCGATTCCTTAATTTTATACCAGTAAACATTATGATTATACATATTGTACTACATGATATTAATCATTTTTGTTTACCCGCGTATGAATAAATTCATTTGTTATATTGTGTGTTCGCATAAAATATCAATTTCTGTTAATTCCATTGACGTAAATAAAATCACTTTGTATTTACACACGTAGGTACTATTATTTACACATACCCTTACGTATTAGTGATTTTGAAGAATGATTATACAGCCTTAATATTTATTTTTAGTCAATCTCTTCAATGTACTAATTAGATTACCATCTAATGATTACCCCTTATCGCATTAATTAATCACTAATGAATAATTTAATCGAGCTTTCGCAAATGACTGAGTTCGTAAACAAATCATTAGTCGGTCGTCTCATTAAAGCATAATTACTAGTCGTTAGTTACCGTGTACTTTAACTGCAACTGAAACTTTTAATTATTATATAATAATTAATAATTATTAATACACGAATTAATAGTCATTATTATATGAATTAATAGTCATCGTTATATTAATTAATAATAATTATTATATTAATTAATAGTCATTATTATATTAATTAACAGACAATATTGCATAGTCATTAGTCATGTGTCCGATTACATTTTGCCCAATTCTACGTGGGGGTTGCGGGGAATTCGAAAATGGCGGAAGCAAGTAGTGGAGAAGCGTAGAACGTAAGCGATGTATCGAATGGGAACATTTTACAGAGTTATTCGGGGAAACGGTAAGCAAAATAGAATATCATGAGAATGAGAAAAGAGAGCGAGAGAGAGGGGGGGGAGGGAAGGAGGGAGAAAATAAGAATACGGAGGGACAATTAAGTCGAATGAAAAAAAGAAGAATATTTGGAGGGTGGAATACAAAATGGAGGCTGTCGAGAAGGAATAACAAGAGAAAGATTGGAGACTGCTCGAGGAGAAAAGAATCGTCTCCGTGAACTCGGCAAATATAAATTACAGAGTAAAATGAGCGTACTCACAGAATCAACGAAATTCTGTTTACAATATACACTGTACTGTGAGCGATTACACGTTCTGATCAGAAATTTGTGTATATTTGTTCAGAAGAAACTGAATGCAGATGAGAATGCAATGAATTCACGATACGATGAAAGAGTGTTACACGTTCTTAGCAAACATTTCGTTCTATAATTCTTTGTTAGAAGTGAACAGATAAATTTCGTGTTACT